AAAACGTCAAATTGTCGAATATATCCCCTCGTTTTTATTCTAATCGGTGACTTTACCGATGAGTTAGCTATCTTCGTTTAGTGAATGGCAAATGACAATGGCCGACATAAGCTTTGTTTTGGTTCGAAATTTGGAACGGATCTAGGATTGCGCAGAACTGCTTGCGCACAAAAAAATAATAGAGGACTGTTCTAATACTAGTTCTGAACCGATTCGGAACCAAAAAAACCAAAACACAAAGTTCTAAAACAGTTCCTCCTTCGGAGCAACTGAGAGAACCGTTCTAGAACAATCCCAGAATTGTTCTTAAAAAGTTCTAGATAAACCAAAACACTCTCAACATAGTTCGATTACGATTCTGAAAAAACCAAAACGCATTTTATAATATGCGCATGTGCAGGGGGGCTTTATTTGAAATTGATGCAACTTTGCGTACACGCAAATATGATGCAAATGACGTCAGTTGCGATTGACAAAGTGCATGTCAAATAAGCCGTGCACTAATTTTCAATCACGAATGACGTCATTTGCGTGTACGCAAAGTTACATCAATTTCAAATAAAGCACCCCAGAATGATTCCGAACTAGTTCTGAGTGAAACCAAAACAAAGCTTAGAATGGTGGATCCATCGGTAAAATTTGATGAGAATAAAAACGCAGAGAATGTCAAAAGGAGCGAGTTTCGTGCAAGTCAGAATGAGGCATTAGAGTGTGTATTCTCCTTGGATTGCAACAGCCTATCACCAGCTAAAATTGATGGCTTTTCTTTTTAAAAACATTCGTAATAGGCGGCAAATTTAAATTTTAAATGTAATTTATTCAGTAACTTTTGTTTTTAATGTTGACAGTATGCTAGTAGTTTTTTTTTCTACTTTTGGCAACTATGTTCGCGCACCGCAATATGGCGTCCAAACAAAAGGTCAATTTGGTAGTAGTTTGTATCATCCTTGACATCAAACAAGTTAACAAGTTTACTGTGACAAAATTGTCACATGTCACACGATTCACCGTTGCCAGATGGCAGAGCTGGGCAGTAGCTAGCTACCAAGTAGTTAAGCTACTAGCTTAGCTACTTTTTTGGTAGCTAATAACTTATTCAAGCTACTTTGAAAAAAGAGTAGCTTGTAGCTATAGCTTTTGGTAATATGTTTCAAGTATTCATAAGCTACTGTGAAAAGTAGCTAGCTACTGAAATAAGCTACTTAAGCTACTTTTGGTAGATAGTTATTTCGGTATTAATGGCGGAAAGTGTCATTTACCGCCCGAGGATGTGGTTAACGATACTCAACGCCCAAAATACTTATTACGTTTTATGCGCAGCGGACTCTTCTAGTTCAAAAATAAAATAACTATACCCATAATATAATGGCATCCATTCGACATTGTTTTCAAAAATAAACAGTTTTCCCCTTATAAAGGCACGTTTCCACCAACCTATCGCCCGCGTTTGAATTTACCGCTCGATAAAAGTAACTTTATACTTTAATTGCTCAAGCTACAATTATCATTTTCCGGAAAATTCTTATCCTACCTTGCTTTAGACTAGTTTCTAGTTATCTCTGTAGGTACCTATGTTTTATGTGTCCTATTTTATTCTCGCATTCGCAGATCACTGTGATCAAAGTGAACCTAATAAATTAACGTCCAGTGGTTCTTGACAAAAATATGAATACTACTTCTTAGAGAAAGTCAATATATTATTTTCGTATGATGATATTATGAAATTAAATTAGGTAAGGTATGTACATTGATAAAAGTAGCTTAAATAGTAGCTTTCTTTAATTCAAAATGTAGTTAAGTTACTAATAGCTTAGCTACTTTTTCAAAGAGGTAGTTGAGCTACTGAGTAACTTAGCTACTTACAATATAAAGTAGCTTGTAGCTTGTAGCTAGCTACTTTTTCCAAGTAGCTTGCCCAGCTCTGCCAGATGGTCAGCGGCTCGAATACTATTGCATTTCAACCTCTTGTCAAAAAAATCCAAAATGACCGGTCATTGGCACACAATGACACGACGTTTAACGTGTTTAATTTGTATTTGAGAACAATATTTTTCTGTATTTTCATTATTTGGAGTTTCAGTCGTAGAATAGAATCCGGGAACAGCTCTGATTATGTTTATGTGATGTGTCTATTGTGTCATACTCCCCTAACTGCCCCTAACTCCCTCACCATCCAATTCTGGGCCTGCGATCGAGTGATGTCACTATCAGCAGCTTCATAGTGATGACGTGGCCCGCAGACCTCGGTGGAATGCTTGCGATTCTGGCTGTGCTAGTGTGTTATTTATTTTTTCGTCGATTTTAAATGTAGAAAAGAGAATAGGTGATTTTCGGTCTGTTCTCACTCAATGGTTCTCACAGAAGAAATTAAGTGTTCTTGATTTGAGTATCCCTGAATTTGTTGGTGGGGGAATTAGGGGAGTATGACACAAATGACACATCACATATTAGTTGTATTCCCTTCAAGAGTTTGAAACACTCGAGCTACTAGCTCCGGTGTTTAGTCGCCCCCGATTTGCAGGGAACAGATGCGTGGTGCAACAAACACTTTTCGAAAGGAATAAGCGTGTGAAGCCCCGGAGCTGTTCCGGAGCTCCTCCTAGGTGTGAAAGGAATACAACTAATCCAGCAAGGATTATACTTGGTTGGAAAAATTGCCTATAGTAAACAAAGGACCTCGCACACCTTAAATGGGATTTCGGCGATCGGTCGGTTTTTTCCAAATTTTGATATGTTGTAGAGGATTTAATTCTTAACAACCTTTAAATGGGACGAAATCTTGTAGGTATTTCGGTCTTTAGGATATGAGCGTTGAAAGATGAACTTTTTTATGACTTTTTGTGTGGAGAGTATACAAAATCAAAATACTGATGTTTATCCACAGATTAACCCGTCCTAGGACGAGTTAATCTGTGTGTTTATCAGTCAAAAGATTGACAGGTTCACATATTTTACGTCAGTAAGGGCCAAATTATGGACTGGTAAGTGTCTGGTTGTAACCTAGCAGCTACTTTCTATTCTCTAGTGCATAAAAATACCTGCTAGGTAACAACCAGACGTTTACCAGTCAGTCCGTAATTTGGCTCTAACAGGGACGTAGCAACAGGGCGAGCAAGTGGTGCCGCGCACAAGGGCCAGGGCCCCGAAGGGTCCCGGCGGGTCCTGCCACTTTTTGGACACAAGGAAAAAAAAAAAAATCATATCACCACCAAGGATGATACACACTACTGTGCTACTTGACTTGACTGTACTGCTACAGGATAGCTTATGCTCATAAGGCCTGTGTAGATCAAATCTCAAGTCACCTACCACGCCAATAAACCAGTGATGACGTAGGCAGCGTGTCGTTTCTCGCCTTGTCGTGGGATGTTTGCATCACAGGTTATGATTCCGTGGGCGTTTGTTTTATGCATAATTTTTTTTAAGTACAATAATTAACATTCTAAGAACGACGCTTTTTCAGATCCCGTTTGCATCTTCCTCCTTTGCCTATTATGTTAATCAGAATTAAAGATTTTTCATCATAAATGTATATTTTAAATTTCGACCGCTGGCGTAAGCAGCTGACGTCGTCGTGAATGGTGCTACAAATACCGCGATTCCTCAAAAAGAGACCGATAAGCAATCCTGTGTAGTAGTGTGTATTATCCTTGGATCATCGCATGCGTGGTATTGCAAGATTTTGGTGAATTTAGCCACACGCGGTAACAGTGGCTAATGGCCGTTTCCACCAACTATTTTAGGGGAGCCCTAACGATAAGTATTCCCTAAACTGACATTTCTCCATGTAAAAATGTCATTTTACGGAATACTTATCGTTAAGGCTTCCCTAAAATAGTTGGTGGAAACGGCCATAAATAAACCTTTACATACAGTGTCGACAATAGCTGCTTTCGGAAATGTAAATCCTGGATCCTGGATCGAGTTGGTTAATATCAGCTGATCGCGGTTCTTCGCGCGTTTTCAGAGAAGATTATTCAACGTTTTCGAACGATTGGGATCGACGATCGCCGGCACCGACGTTTGTTTTTCATCAACGATTTAAGGTAAGGTTTTTACCTTTGACCAATGATCTCCTTCGACTTTTCGAAGACGCTGCAAACCACCCCAAACAAAACAAATCACAAGAAATAACCAAAAAAAATCAAACAGCTGGAGTGCGTTTAGAAATGGAGTGTGAAGGTAGAGTAGTTGTTTGTCAGAGTGTTATGACGTAATCACTTAGAGTGCACAATGGGTGCGCCTTTTCTGAACGTAATTGGGGTGTTGCGCTAAATGTCAACGTCAAACCCGGTAAAAACCACGGGGCGTTTTTCAACCCAGTCCCTGAGTGGGGTAATTTGGGCGCATTCTGGGACGTCAACTCTCGATTTCTGAACGATTTCAGCGTAACGCTTCGAGCAAGCACCTGTTAACTTATGAACGGTTTAGAGTTACTCGAGGGTCACTCTCACACCTAGGTGCGATTTCTAAACGCAACCCTGATGGATTAATTTTCTACCCTCGTCAAGAGCAGGGTTTAACGAGTTCATAAGAAAACCGAGTCAACAAGATTACTTACCGAACGCGAGTACTCGACTTCGGATCATTTTACGACCGAGGAGATTACTTATCCGATCGAACCGATTAATCAGATCACATTTCTGGCTAAAGCCTAGTACTCATAACTGCGAATTTCGCAATTTTTTGACATTGCTTCGACAAATTGACGTTTTATGCGTGAATTAAACGTCAAATTGTCGGAGAAATGTCAAAAAATTGCGAATTTCGCAGTTATGAGTACTAGGCTTAATAGAGGTCTCGCCGCCATTTTGTGCCCAACCTCTTGCTACTTTAAAATTAGGATTCAAATGAACATCCATCATAAAAAATTGAAAACAACGTATTTGATGTGCCTAATTATAGTCATCGGATACGTTGTTTTCAATTTTTTATGATGCATGTCCATTTAAATCCTATATATTCATATTTAAAAGTAGCAAGAGGTTGGGCAAAAAATGGCGGCGTTTTCCATATACATAGGATTTTAAAAAAGCAATAAAAAAAAAGACGGCAATTGTCACCACTGTGGTAATAGAGTCACTGTGCACGCAGTGAATGATAGAAAATCCAAAATCAATTCACACTCCAACTTTGGATTTTCCCAACAGCTACTGTGTATTTTTTATACCGGATATAAAGTTATCGAACGCAGCCCAGTTAAATGTAATGACAGGTTTTTAAAAAATGAAATTTAAATTTTTTGTTTTGTTTTTGTTTTTATACTAATGTTTGCTCGAGGACTGAGGTTGATAACAATTTATTGATCATTGGTCCAAGATCTATCATTCTTAGCTATCATTCATCCATGAAAATAGATAAATAAATACTCATAATGGCAAACGGACCTATAGCTGAAAGAAATAGAGGTAAATAAGCCCCTTTTAGTCAATAAATATTTTAAAAAGGATGGTTGGATATAGGACAAAAATCAATTCATGGATACTTAACTCAAATTTGTGTTTTGATCAATGTTCTGACCCATATCATTTTCGAAAAATACCAACATCCATTTGATTTTGTCTTGAAAAAAATTCTAGCCAGACATAAAGTCTATTTTTTTTTAAAGATAATTCCCCAAGTCAAAAATTTGGTAACTATGTTAGCAACACAAGCCTTTTCTACATAAAAAATAGACCTATCTATTTATAATAATAATAGTTATTTATGCACCTAGGTCAAAAAGTACAGCTTTAACGCCCGCAGCGTGTGTAACAGCCTGAGGCGTTAGCCGAGATTATTATCAAGTTTCAAGTTTATTTATTTCAAAATAGTTACAAATATTGTTACATTAAATTTATGTTACAATACTAATATTATATATAACTAACTAAAGCACCTAGATGACTTAACACCTGTATGTGCTTATTTTGATATTTAAAATTTTTGTAATTGTATTTAGAGATGAGTTTTTTTACACGTTTACGATCGCGCTTACGGAAAAAAAAGAAAAGAAAAATCACTACAACCTAAAAATTACTTACTTACCTAATAATAATCTAGTACTTACTTAATGAAAAAAACACAAAATTATAGATAGGTCTTATGACAGCAGTTTCAGAAATGTTATTCTATTTTCCCAAAGATATTTTTTTGCTTGCTTTGAAAACGTTTTAGCTCTTATATTACTTTTTATTGCGTCAGGAATCAAATTATACGCTTTTGGTCCAAGATAGTTAACTGATCTTTGGTAGAATTCGCTATGACAATTCGGTATAATTAGCATATTCTTTGTATTATTTCTAGTTGAATAAGCATGAGATATAATATCTTTATCCTGATTTTTATGCACAAAACAGACTACTGAATGAAAGAATAGTATTCTTAGATTATTAATTTTGCAATTATAAAGCAGATGTGTTGGATAAAGGTAATCTTTCTTATAGATGATTTTTAAAATTTTATTTTGAATTATTTGTAATGGTTTTAGAGTAGTTTTGTATATAGCACCCCAAGCCAATATACCATATCTCAGCAGGGATTCTACTAAACTCTGATATAATGTGGTTATTAAAGCCTTCGATACAATATTTCTTAAAATATAGAACCTATGTATTAAAGTTTTTAGCTTTTTTGTGATATATTCAACATGTTTTGTCCATTTTAGATTAGAATCCACAAAAATACCCAGATATTTTGCATGTGGTACTTCATTAATTTTTTCGCTAAATGTATCGATCTCTATAGAGGTAAAATCTGGACGATTTCTGTCGATTTTCGTAAAAGCTATGTAATTGGTTTTTTGCAAATTTAATGAAAGTTTATGGGTATCTAGCCAAGTTTTGACTCGTTTCAAACCATCTACTACCTTAGATCTAACCTCTTCCCAAGTGCTGCCACAGAAGACCATTACAGTGTCATCTGCATACGAAATTATTTTTGCCATTATTCCCTGATCTACCAGAGCTTTTATGTAAATATTAAAAAATATTGGGCCAAGGACAGTGCCCTGGGGGACACCTATATTAATCCTCTGCGGCCCGCTAAAAACGTTTCCAATTTTTGTTTGTTGTTCCCGATCAGTTAAGTAGTCTGTACAAAGCCTCAACGCAGTCCCTCTCACTCCATTGGATTCTAAAATCCTCAATAGTATTTTGTGAGAGACTGTGTCGAAGGCCTTCGCCAGGTCCAGAAATACAGCAATACACTTTTTGTCTTGATTTATGTTATTAGTGACTTCCTTGAGCAAGGTGTCTATTGCATCAGTGGTACTGACACCCTCTGTAAATCCATATTGGTCTTTTGATAACAAACCGTTTTTTGTAAAAAAGTTTGTGAGGCGGTTTTTTAGACACTTTTCAAAAAGTTTAGCGAAGTTACCAATTAAGCTTATTGGTCTGTAGTTTGATATTTGATTTTTAGCACCTGATTTATAGATTGGTATAATTATTGATTTCTTAAAATGGCCAGGTACAGTCCCTGTTTCAAAAATGAGATTATAAATATGCTTAAGGGGTGCCAGTAGATACTGATGCATATTTTTGATAAGTTCTACAGTAATCATATCGAGACCTGGACTACTGTCTGTTTTTAAACTGTTGATGTGCTGAATAAGTTCTTTGTCAGTTACTGGAGTTAGGAATATTGATTTGTTCACTGATTCAATATTATTTTCTAATTTATCTTGAGGTATTTTACCAAGCATCTGAAGACCTATGTTTGAAAAATATTCATTACAGTGGTTTGCCATTTCAAGATCAGTTTCAAAATTTTTGTTATTAGTATCTGTAATTTTTAAGAGACTTTTTGTTTTTTTGTTATTGTTTGTTATTTCTGTAATAATTTTATATGTTTTTTTAATATCTTGTTTGCTACTTTCTATTTTTTGCTTATAATATTCGTTTTTTACTGTATTTAAGAGCTTTTTAATGTGGTTTCGATAATTTTTGTATTCTATCTCTTTTTCTGTTGTAAAGTGTGTTTGAAGTTGCCTTTTAATCCTGTCTCTCGTTTTGATAGCTTTAATTAATCCTTGTGAAATCCATGGCTTTAACTTTTTGTGTTTTGTGTTAATAGTTTTTACAGTTTTGCTTTGCGTCAAATAATTTTGAACAATGGTAATAAATTTACTAAAGCTAAGATCTGTTTCGTTAGTATCTAATACCTCTGCCCACCATTCTTCTTTAAAGAACTCATTCAGCTGTCCCCAGTTAATTTCTGAGATTATCACAGTATTGCTGTCGCTATTATTATTATCTTTTTTGGTTGCAATATTTAATGAAACTGGATAGTGATCTGTAATGTCAGTCTTTATGATATACGAAAGTGTTTTTATGTTATTTAATTTAAGATTCATTTTGACAAATATGTGATCCAAACAACTTTTTGTTTTTTCTCTAGTAATATTATTTACATATGATTTAAAACCATTAGAGGTTAACATTGAATAATAGGTGACAGTAAGAGGATCTTGGTTATCTAATAAATTAAAGTTAATATCACCAACCACTACTTCAATATTTTTCTCCGTAATGTCATTTTTAAAGTAATATATGTATATACATACAGGGTGTCCCACGGTGGATGGCGTATTAGACGTTTATGGAAAACTGAAAAGCTGATCATTTTGAAAATTTGGCAACCGGGATAAACGACCATAATCTACACTTTAAGTGCCGGTACTTTTGCTCTCATTTGACAGCCGTTAAAAATAATCAGGGCTTTGAATGTGCTCTAACCACATCATACTTATATAGACCTTGGCCCATGCAAAACTTTGACAACGTATCAAATTCGTTAATCGAGAGCAAAAGTATCGACCCTAAAAATATTTTTGTTTATGCGGTGTTGCCGCTTCTACTCTAAACCAGTGGCAACATCGCTATTTTAAATATAACACCCTGTATGTGATTGCATATTTGGATTCTACGTAAAATTCTGAACAGATTTCATGTGAAATATCCTATACCTAAGTTCAACTGTTATGGAAATATTGACAGTTGAAAATTGACTTTTTGCAACTTTGACAGGCTCTAGAACCTGAGGAAAACCGATTTTACATTCCTATCTTAGATTTTCATAAACTATCATTTGACACCAACTTTGAATTTAACCGGAGATGAAATTTAATTGAAATTTTTAATCATGGATTAAATTCAAAGTTGGTGTCAAATGATAGTTTATAAAAATCTAAGATAGGAATGTAAAATCGGTTTTCCTTTTAAATTAACCGTTTAGGTTTTACAGCCTGTCAAATTTGCAAAAAGTCAATTTTCAACTGTCAATATTTCCAAAATAGTTGAACTTAGGTATAGGGTATATCACATGAAATCTGTTCAGAATTTTACGTAGAATCCAAATATGCAATCACATACAGGGTGTTCTATTTAAAATAGCGATGTTGCCACTAATTTAGAGTAGAAGCGGCAACACCGCATAAACAAAAATATTTTTAAAGTATAGATTATGTTTTGCCAAATTTTCAAAATGATCGGCTTTTCAGTTCTCCATAAACGTCTAATACGCCATCCACCGTGGGACACCCTGTATATACAGGACTTGAAATGCTTCGAAAAAATATTATGCGTGGTGGAACCTTTTTTTTGATATTGAACCTGCTTGTCATATTTTTGACATTGACGGCTGTCAAAGTTGGCCATGGAATTTTTTCAGTATTTCCTACGTGTTCGCCGAAGCTAAATGTATACGCCCATGTGTTTTTTTTTAAATTTTAACAACTGTCAATATCAAAAATTTTTATCTTTTCTTTTTTTCAAGAAACAAAAGTCAGAAAACGATCCCCAGGCTCCAAAAACCCCAAAGTAAAAAGTTTCATCGATATATGTCAAAAATTAACGGCCTGGCGACACTGAACGTCTTTTTTGACATATTATATACAGGGTGTCTACTTAGTGCGATATCGGAAGATAGCTCCTTACAGGGTGATGTGAGAAAAAAATATTAAATTACAAAGTTGTTTGATACTCTAATACACATTAGTTAAAAATATTTTTGAATATACAGGGTGCTCCATTTATGGGGTATGCGACAGAACTTTGTTATTTTAAATAGAACACCCTATATGTAATTGCATATTTAGATTCTACGTGAAATTCTGAGCAGATTTCATGTGATATATCACATGAGTATACTCATACCTAAGTTCAACTGTTTTGGAGATAATAGGCCTGTTCGCACAGCAATCACAAACCAGTCAGAGCGAATTTCATTGGTTGGAAACAGTCAGAAACAGTCAGAAAACTAGTTTCAACCAATGAAATTCGCTCTGACTGGTTGGTGATTTCTGTGCGAACAGGCCTATTGACAGTTGAAAATTGAGTTTTTGCAACTTTGACAGGCCGTAAAACCTAAACGGGTAATTTTAGAGGAAAACCGATTTCACATTCCTATCTTAGATTTTCATAAACTA